TGTCATTTAGCAAAAAAATTTGACAGTAAAATTTAACGGAAATAAATTGAGGGTAAATTCATCATAAGTGTATTAATTTGAAATTTTTGCAAGTCAAAAAATTAATTTAAAATAAAATTATCATAAATATATTAATTTAATTATTTTCGTGATATTAATCTTATTTAAAAGCCAAAGACTAGCCAAATTGACCCAAATAGGAGCACTTTCACTTTCACACTCCCGCCGGCCACTCCCACCAAACCCCCTTGGCATCATTTGATCCCTTTCAACACTTATTTTTAATCAAATCCCATTTATTCCATCGAATTCCCTTTAGTGCCCTTTCGAAAAATACTTCATATTTTTTTTAAAAATTCAAAATAATGTCTGCCTACGATTCGATAATCAATCGTGATTAAAGTTATCGTTTTTGTCATAATCTAGATTCTAATAATATTCTTCTTTACTAAGTGACACTCGGTGTTACATTCACCAAAATTTCACTTGCATGGTGAATATGATTTGCCTTGATTTGTGTTAGCAATTGCATCTATTTGGTAGTCATTGCTAGGTCCTACTCATTTTCTCTCACTTCCTAATAAATAGGGTCTCTTAATATAGTTGTTTTGGAAAAGAAACTTTTTTATTATCAAATGAGTAATTGTAATTTTATTAGTAGGTATTGCACCTTATATGTCTAGTTGACTTTCGAATTCGCGCATTGTCTTACACCATAAATAGTCTATTCGTATAACATATCACAAAGTGATGTCCGAATATATAGATAAAGGACACCAATTTGTTTAGATTGACTCGAGATGACAATGGCGCGGGGCATGATGGGTTCACAGTCCCACTTCGCACCCACGCGGGGCAAATTTTCCATCTCCATCCTTGCCTCGCGTAACTATGCGGGTACCCCCACCCCCACAAAATTCTCTAATGGATTAGACAAAAAATTTTATGCAATAGAGATTATCTTTTATAAAACATAAGACTTTAGATTAAAGGGTGAACTTGAAAAGAATCATTTAGTGGTTTTAATATAAATGTAAAATAAAATATAAAAAAGTTAACTGTTTTGACCAGCAATTTTTTAAATGTAAAATAACAATTTAGTTTCTAAGACATTTTTGGAACAAGTAACCTAGCAGCGGCGGCAATGCCGGTAATAACAATAACATAAACAGTAGACCCATTCGTTGTGCAACTTGTGTTGCTCTCATAGAAGTTGATTTCTTGCAAGACCAATTCTCTATCTTTGGTTCTCTGAATTCGTTTCGCTTTTTTGCTGAGGAAGTCGATTCTTGCGAGAAGCTTGCCATTCTTCGCAACCTGAGTTAATGATATTTGGGAATTTGTTTTGAGCTTCTATTACATTTACACGGGCGTTGGCGATAGCAAGAACAAGTCAAAGTCACGCAATTGCAAAGCCAAATGACATGCATGACTCGTGGATGTGATGTTACACCGAGATAGACATGTGATTTGGATATGTCTATGCATAAACAGGGAATAGATCTGAGAATCAATCCTTGATAGTGTCATTATTCAATTATTGAGTGACGACAGTCATTCAATAGTCGAGCTCTTAAAAATATCCATTAGATCGATCAAATCTGCTCCATCATTGTCAATAGCGCCACATAAAAGTGGAGGAGGTACACAAATAATGGAGGAATGGGCAACACATATTCAGTAGGTTTAGAAAAGTTGGAGTGGACTGACAAGTCCATTGTGCACAAAATGATGAAGATGAACCACAAATTCCGCGAACGAGTACAAACATCACATGATGGATGAACAGTTACAAGGACGATAAGTAAAAGCAGTATCAACCAGGAGCAAGTATTTACCGTAGCTACAGCTCAATCGGACTGTCAGGTCTGACGGGAGCTAGAATCCATTATTTTCAGCACAAAAATTCAGTTTAACATATATATATTACATTCACGTATAATAATTTTACATGAGCAGCAGTAACCCATTAGCCAAAGGATGGTAGAAAAACTCGATATAATTTATCATGATGTTCGATCCAAGTATGTTTGTATCATGCTTATCTTTTTAGTGTTGATTAGCAGCCATTAGAAATCATATGGGATCTTCATTTCATGTGAAAGGGATCACGCTTTGTTCTAGTCCTTAACTGGATTATGGTTATTAATTTGGCCACTGACATTGTGAGACACGGAATGAAATATGAAGTTGCTGAAATTATAGGGATTGGTTTAATTAGGCGATAATTTTGCCAATAACAGAGGAATCAACACTTCTTTTTGTCCAACAAACAAACTCTAGGTTCCAATAGATGCTCTCATTAGTCATTTCCTCTTTTGCAATGTTTAAATATTAGGCGCTATAGAGACTTAATTGGCATTCCAATCGCAAGAAAGCTCATTCCAACAAAATCACCATGCACATTCCAGCTATTTACCGACATTTCGTGGGAAAATCCAAATTTCGCCGTGAGGGAGAAACGGGAAAAGGGCAAAACAGAAAGAGAATTAAAAAAAAAAAAAAGGATGTACGGAGCAACCCATTGGCCGGCCCTAATTGTTTCTCCTTCCAAACAAATGCACCGTCGATCGTGTTCATGGGGATAACATACGCCTCCACGAGCTCTCATGACCTCACGACCGTCAATCACTCTCGGAAACTCATCTTCTTCTTCCTCCTCCATGCCTCACTCAACGCCTTGTTAAGTTCATCCCCTTCAACACTCGACTGCATAGTCGTCATCGGCAGCGGCAGTCCAGGGACTAATTTGTTTGATCAAAAATTAGTTGAGGCCCTAATTAGACATTTTGTAATAATTTACGGAGTCCAACATCTTTACCCCTTTTTTTAAATTTTTTTTTTTGTATGTGTATGATAAGGCCATCGATCAACTTACACAAGATCAACAGCCTGTGCAATGCACAAGATTATCAACAATTATTTCAAAGAATGGTATTTCCTAAAACTTTGAAGCTTTAACGATTATTTGTAAACATTACTGAATGTAATTGGTAAGACATCTCGCATTAAGATATGTCGGACGGACAAAATATTTATCAAAAAATTGTACATATACAAAGAACCAAACTGAGCAAGTCTACCTCATCGTAACGTTTTGCAATCATTTAGGATTAGTTCATCTCTCTCGTTCTTCCTCATTTCGAAGGAAATAGAATGAACGTGACACAAATGAGTAAATGATTAACCTTCGATTCTCCCATAACAGAGGAGAGGGACATAAGGAAAGCAAAAAAGAAATAAAAAAAGGCCAATACGACATGTACGTGGTCCTAATTACTCCTTGTCGTTTTGTCGACCACAACCCCAATAATGAAGTACCATCACTAATGGGATGAACGTCTATTCTAGAAACGTAAGCTCCAACATGTATATGTAACCATCGTATTGAATTTTTTTTTTTGAATTTTAAGCGGTTTTCTTATACATGTTTTCTTTACGACACACATGGGGCCCAACCTGGAAGAATTGGAACAAGAACAGCTGGAACTCACTTTGCAAACGAGACGTACTATTCCAAAGATATTTAGGGTCTGCAACTGACAGTGACGAAGACAGGTGAAAGAAGCCTCACGGTGCTCTCAAAATTGTACTAGTCTGTGTGCTTCAAGTCATGGAATTGAAGCCTCTGGGTGCTCTCGTAATTGTGTACTATTTGCTCGATCAAAACTGGGTCTTTTCTTCTTGGACTTCGAGCGAAGTGCACTTGCGATGAAGGGAAAAACATAGCCGGATTTTACCTGTTAATCGATTTATCTGCCTCTCTAATGGGGCAGAATGCCAGCAATCTGTATGAAATTCTTCACTTCAAGATGTAGTGTTACTTATTTTTAATATAGAATTTATATATTTGCATTAGGGTATGCTTCTCTAGGAGAAATTATCCAAAAAGTTGTAAATTTAATGTACGGATACGAATTCAGTCTTAGACTTTCTAATTTGGCCAAATATAATCCTAGACCTTTTGACGATTTTACAGTGAATTCCATTTAGCCCATTAGGATTGAAAAATTTTGGCATGGAGGTCCAGTCAACATAGGCCATCTTACGTAGCAGAGTTAGCGATTTGACATCTACGGCTCTACTCAAAATGATGTCGATGTGAGAAATTTTATAAGGCACATGCTGACTGATCGAGTCACAAATTCTTCCATGCCCGAATCTCTAATTCACTTCAAATCTGACAAATAGTTCTAGCGTACTATGCGTAAATCACATTACCTGCGGCATTAACATCACTCAACCGGTACTTTCCAGGGACTTGGCACCGTGAAATTAGGAGCAAGTAAAAGATGCAAATAAACTTTGCTCCGACAGAATCTGGTTCCCCAGGTGTCTGAATAGCTGTTACTTCAGACTTAGATATATCTAAAAGAAACACCTCATTCTAGACTAAGGGCTCGAGAAGAATCCGCAGCATTCATGCTAATACAGTTAAACCAGTCTTTCAGCTGCCTCTTCTCTCTGACATTATGCCTGAAAATTGTGACTCGAGGCAGGATAATTGGCTTCCAAAAGGTAGAAAGTAAAAAAAATCATTGCTGCAAGGAAAGCATCTGGGAAGTGTCCAATACAGCTCCAATACTTGATGCTCATTCAAATGAAGTATATCATATTGAACTAGTCATGCAATTTGCTCCCTGTCAATCCTATCCATCCAATCAAAAGGTGTCTCGACTTCCAAGAGAGTTACATCATTCAAAGTTACGGCATTTTCTGATTTCCATCTTCATGACTGCTTTTAAGTGCAACATTCGTAAAAAATGAAATGTTAAGATAAGTCATTACTCAAAAAAGATGGACCGTACAAGTGCCAGAGGTCTCATTTAAAAATGGTTTTCTTCAATAAACCTAACACAGTTCTCTTGCATCAAATGTGAAAGGTCTAAAGAAGAATAATACGAACTTGTAGCTGGAGGCACCGTGGAAAAGAACAAGACAGCCTTTTGCTCAATGGGGTGTCTACACGGATCTATGTCAAGATATCCAACAGAACGGAGATGAAGCTCATGGTATGTGGGTGTGCATTGCATACAGCACCCATTACTACTGATGCAATCATAGTTAACAGGGCAATCTTCAGTTGAAGATCCGAGCTCGACTACCCATTCTTGGTTTCCTTGGATTGACTACTTGTCAAGCAACACCTCCGAAACAACTAATATCAGAAGATCAACCATCTCATCTCCATTTTTATCAGCATTTTCCCTCTTATTGAACTCCAAATCATCAAAGAATAAGTGACAAGGCAGACCCTGGCAAAGAATTTGTTGATGGTACAGCCAAACTTAGATTTTGAAAACCCAAATGACGAGCAAATACTGTTACATTATGTGTTAGATAGAAGTTCTAAGTAATGTCACCAAATTCTGCTTTTGAGTACAAGCGCTGCTATGCACTACATAACATTACGTACAACGCTCATTTCACCGTCTTATCCTTAGTACTTCCTACTTCTACTTTTGGCTTTTGATTCAGTTTATTGCTTGGCACTGAGGAACAATCAAGAACTAGAAGCAAAAGTTGGAACTTGGAATTGGCCATAACAGATAATTTAATATCAAGGTGAAATCGTAAACCATCCCCATGAGACTTGTCGCGACCTAATCTCCGTGTGGCACCATCTAGGGGTTCGGCTAATAGATTATTAAGTATATACTAATTCGGGCCCTTCCAAGCCCTATCAATTCGCAACTTAAGGTTTAAATTCTTAACATGCAAATGTTTTCATGCTGGAGTCGCCACTAATCTATTGGCAGTGGATCGATTAAAAACCCAAATAAAACATAGAAAAATATTTTTTATTCGTACGAACCAGAAATTTTGAGTTTGGGGACTTGGTTGCGCTAGATTACTCTAACACCCTTTCGATACTTTTTCTTTTCATAAAAAAATGTTTGAGCAGGCAGTTTGGATTCATTTTATTACCTAGTTGCTAACATGTGAGGTGACCATGCGGGTGCGCAATCCACCAATTTAACATTTATAGAACTAGTTTAGATGAATATATTTTTTAAAATAAAATAAATGCAAACACCTCTTCTCAAGACAATATGTTCCAATAGACACATTTCTTTGTATTTCCAATAGTAATTTAGATGGTGTTTTCTTTTAAATAGTATGTTTGCTACGTGACTTGCACTTTCTCTTGTTTTTAAAATTGAATATATCGCGCAATCACATTAAATTTTACTATGCTACTTCTTGTGTACAATGATCTCTCCTACACGAGTTCTTTTCTTGCTCCTTTAACTGTTGATTTGCTTTAAAATAAGGTGCCCGTGAGTGCTTTTCAGATAATGTGCCCATGCAACAATTTTCATTTGTAAGAATCCTATGCGGAGATGATGAGACTTGTCGTCACTCAGACCAACTTCTTGCATTTTACTCGAGAGGCTCATTATTTTTCCCTCCATTACCCTCAATTTCTTCCGAGTTGATCATTCCAAACGTGCATATAAATCTGATAGAGAAAAAAGGTCGATTCGGGGTGGCCTAGCTAAGAAATGAGCTGAGATTTTGGATATGAACTAGGCAAGTGAGTGCCGATACCTTAAAAACTTGGCAGGTTTACTTTAAAGTCAAATTTAATTGTCTGTTTCCTACCGAACATTCTGTATTACCAAGTAGACACCAGTGAAGGTGTCCAAAACCTTTTAACAAGTTTGGAAATTTTTTAAGATTCTTTTGGGAGATCATAAAGGGAAAATGGCACAAATCGTCTATGAATTTTGGTTCAATATGCAATGTGGTTTATGGACTTTTAATTTTTCAATATGGATCCCAAATTATTAATAAATATTCGATCTAGTTATTAGATTACATGAAAATATTCAATGTTGTCATTCCGTTAATCTAAGTTAATAAAATTTGGTGATATGACTTTCAATCCATTAAATTTTAACGGTGGACAACAAAAAAAATTATGCATAGATTATCTAAGTAAGATATTCATTTCAAATTATAATATAATAATCTATGTCATTACATAATGATGGACATGTTAATGTCTTAATGTTTCGTTCATTTTTTGATGTTGATGGATAAAAAGATGGAAATGTTGACTTATCAATTTCTAAAAACCAACTCGGCATATAATAATTCACGTTACCGATTTGTCGTTTAAGCATACGGAAGGACTACTCTGAACATTTATCATTAGTTTAGGAATCAAATTGAATAAATTAAAAGTTTATGGACGATATTACATATTTGGTTAAAGTTTAGACATCATTTGTATCATTTTTCCAATCATAAAAGCTAATCAGAAGTTCGGAATATATATGTTCTAAAGCCAATGAAATTTTTATTATATAGAAATGAAATGTAAACGGTCAATTTAAAAGCCAAAGACGAGCCAGCATAAAAACAGGTTTCAAGATGGGAGCTGAGTGGGACGTGTGGTCAAAGGGGGAGACCGGGGTTGTCCTCTTCTCCGTCCTTATGAATTAACCCAAGTGGGAGCACTTTCACTTTCACACTCCCACCACCCAGTCTCACCTCACCCCCTTGGCATCATTTGATTCCTTTCAACCCACTTTTTTAATCATATCCCATTTATTCCATTGAATTCCCTTTAGTGCCCTTATGGAAAATACTTCATATTTTTTAAAAAAATTCATAATAATAGCTACCTACGATTCAATAATCAACCGTGATTAAAGTTATCGCTTTTATCGCGGTCAGATTCATATTCTAATAATATTTTTCTTTACTAAGTGACACTCGATGTTATATTAACCAAAATTGCACTTGCGTAATAAAGATGATTTGCTTTGATTTGTGTTAGCAGTTGCATCTATTTGGAAGTCATTGCTAGGTCCTACTTATTTTCTAATCACTTCCTAATATATAGGGTCTCTTAATATGGTTGTTTTGGAAAAAATCTTTTTAATTAACATATGGGTAATTGTAATTTTATAAATAGGTTTTGCACCTTTAATATTTAGTTGAGTTTCGAATTCATGCGTTGTCCCGCACCATAAATAGTCTATATGTATAATATATCATAAATTGATTTTGGAATATATAAATAAAGGGCACCGATTTGTTTAGATCGACTAAGAGATGACAATGGCGTGGGGCATGATGGGTTCACAGTCTCACCCCTGCACCCACGCGGGGCAAAATCCTTGCCTCACGTAACTATGCGGGTACACCCACCCCCACAAAATTCTCTAATAGATTAAACAAAAAATTTTATGCAAATAGAGATTATCTTTGATAAAAGATAAGACTTTAGATAAAAGGGTGATCTTGAAATGAATAATTTAGTAGTATTATTATAAATTTAGAATAAAATCTAAAAAAGTTAACTATTTTGACGTGCAATTTTTTAAAATGTAACATAAACAATTAGTTTATAAGAAATTTTTTGGAACAAGTAACCTAGTAGCAGCAGCAATGCCAGTAATAACAGTAACATAAAAAGTGCACCCACTCGTTGTGTTGCTCTCTGAGTCTCTTGCGAAAATGTTTTGTAACATAAAAATTTAGTTTACAAGACATTTTTGGAAGTTGATCTTTTGCGAGACCAATTCTCTACCTTTGGTTCTCTGAATTCGTTTTGCTTTTTTGCTGGGGAAGTCGATTCTTGCAAGAAGCTTGCCCATTCTTCACAACCCGAGTTAATGATATTTGGGAATTTGTTTTGAGTTTCTATTACATTTACATAGGCGTGGGCGATAGCGTGAACAAGTCAAAGTCACGCAACGCAATGCCAAAATGACATGAATGACTCGTGGATGCGAGGCTACACCGACCCAGACATATGATTTGTATATATCTATGAACCAACAGTGAACACATGTCGAATCAATCCTTAATAGTGTCATCGTTCAATGATTGAGCTTTTAAAGTATTGATTAGATCGATCAAATCGGCTCCACCATTGTCGATAAACCCACATAAAAGTAGAAAAGGTACATAAATAGCGGCAAAAGTACACTATAAATGCCATAATTTGTGTACGGCGATCACTTTAGTGTCATAATTTTTTTTCGGATCACTTTGGTGTCAAGTCAGAGCAAAAGAGATCACTTTAGTGCCAATTTGGCCGGAAATCCGACGTGGCATTTTTTATTAATTTTTGACACCGACGTGGCTCGCTGGAGGCTGAGTCAGCGTGTACAATCAGCATTTTTTTTTTAAATAAATTTTTTCAGCGTGTACAGTCAGCATTTTTAATTTTAAATATTTTGTTTCCTTTTTTTTTTCTTCTTTCCTTTTTCTTTTGTTTTCTTTTTTTTCTTTTCTCCCTTCACCGGCCGGTCACCGGTGGCCTCCGGCCACCGGCAAAGCCCGGGAAGGGCTGGGCGAGGGCGGCCTTGCCCATGGCCGGCGAGGGGCAGCCGACCTCGCCGGCGACAGCGAGGCCGCCCCAGCGAGGGTCGCCCTCGCCCGATGCCGGCGACGGTCGCCCTCGCCGAGATCCGGCGAGGGCGACCCTCGCGGCCGGGCGAGGGTCGCCCACGCCCGACTCGAGCGAGGGCGACCCTTGCCCGCCCAGCGAGGCTTCCTCGCCCGACGCGGCGAGGGTCGCCCTTGTCTGATCCGGCGAGGGCGACCTCGCCCGCCCCAGCGAGGGCTTCCTCGCCCGACGCGGCGAGGGTCGCCCTTGTCCTGGATCTCGGGCGAGGCGACCCTCGCCCGCCTGTGCGAGGCTTCCTCGCCCGACGCCGGCGAGGCGGCCCTCGCCCGGGCAGGCGAGGGTCGCCCTCGCTTGAGTCGGGCGTGGGCGACCCTCGCCCGACGCCGGCGAGGGTCGCCCGACGCCGGCGAGGGTCGCCCGACGCCGGCGAGGGTCGCCCGACGCCGGCGAGGGTCGCCCGACGCCGGCGAGGGTCGCCCGACGCCGGCGAGGGTCGCCCGACGCCGGCGAGGGTCGCCCGACGCCGGCGAGGGTCGCCCGACGCCGGGCGAGTGCCGCCTCGCGTATCCGGACGAGGGCGACCTCGCCGGCGTCGGGCGAGGGAAGCCTCGCCCGGGCGGGCGAGGGTCGCTCGCCCGGGCG